GCAGATGCAGGCACGAGGCGACGGACTGCTTGAAACTGTTGCTGCACACGGACTGTGCCTCCTGATTGGGGATGTCGGGGGCACAGCGCTCGAGAGTCGAGCAACGCGCGCACGGGGTCCGCGAGCGCCTGCGGGATGGCGCCCGCGGACGCCACCAACTCCGCAGCCTTCTTCGCCTCCTCAAAGTCCCCATCCTCCATGGGCAGGCCCCCCCCGCTCCGGATCATCAAACTGCTCATTGAGATCCTGAATGCGTTGAACAATCTCACTCTTGCGATCCAACATCAGCTGGATCCGTCTCTGTCGTTGATGGATGTCCTGTTCATGCTTTTGGAGCTGCTTACTGGGTGGCTGCTGCTGTTATTTGGACTGTCTGTGCCTGTGGCAGGCATTGGCCGGGGCATCCGCCACCTCCTTCCCGAGCGGGTTGTGGCATCTGGAACATACGATGCAACTCGTCGTGTGCTGACTTACCTTCGGCACGTTGGGTCGATTCTGGGGACGTGTACCTCTTTCCTCCTTCCGCGGAGCACCTTGAAGTCCACGTACTTGTTTGCCTCCTCCTCTTTCTCCACCTTCGTATCCTTTTCCGCCTCCACCTCCTGTACCACCTTTATTGCCGCCTTTCCTTCCTCTTTCTCCTCCAACCCCGTTTGGAAAAGTTGACAACTCCAGACACCACGCGGGGGAGGTTCGTCTCGCTGGGATAGATTCGGGAGTACGGCACCAGAGTGGTAACACTGGCGGTTGGTACTTGGATTCTTCCTGCAACCACACGTATTACATACACGACCCAGAGCATACCTGTCACGCATTGCGTGTCGGCCGAGAAACTCTGGGTGGGAGGGCGCGCGCTTCGCACGCACGTCGTCTTAAAATGCTCGGGCGAGGTTGGGAAGTTAAGGAGCGGGCCCCTTGAGCCAACATGGCTACGGCCCTCCTCCTCCTCCTCTTCCTCCTCCTCTTCCCCCCTCCTCCTCCTCCTCCTCCTCTTCCTCCTCCTCCTCCTCCTCCTCCTCCTCCTCCTCCTCCTCCTCCTCCTCCTCCAGTCCTCGTCATCCTCCTCCTTGTTTCCTCCTCGTCCATTCCTTCTCCTTATAGATATCTCCCCCTCTGTCGCACCCCGATGCCAGTTTTTTAGGGCGGGCCGGGCGTTTCGCCTGAGATTTCCTCACCACTCATGGCTCTGAACATGAAACAGTGGCAACAGCTCCACTGATGGATGACGGGTCCCTTTCAAAATGCGTCTCTCGCATTAGCGCCGCGCACATTCGTTTTGACAATTTGCCAGAGCTTCAAGTATTGAGGGCGGTTCCTTTTCAACATGTGGTTCTCGCCTTAGCGCCGCGCATATTCGTTTTCAAATGTTGCAAGAGCTTCAAGGATTGAGGGCGATTCCTTTTCAAAATGTGGCTCTCGCCTTAGCGTCGCGCACATTCGTTTACAAACAAATGCAAGAGCTTCAAGGACTGAGAGCGGTTCCTTTTCAAAATGTGGCTCTCGCCTTAGCGCCGCGCACATTCGTTTTGACACTTCGCAAAAGCTTCAAGGATTGAGAGCGGTTCCTTTTCAACATGTGGCTCTCGCCTTAGCGCCGCGCACATTCGTTTACACAAAAATGCAAGAGCTTCACGGATTACCGTGATCAACGGACCAGAAACGGCGTTTTGGAAAGATTCCAAATTATGCAGGTGCAACAATTATGTTGGCTCGCGGTGTCGAAATCATTTATATATATAACGTTATGGCACGATTCCGGATCGTCAAGACGCCATTGTCAAGTTGATACGTGGCGTTGAAATCCCGACAACAATGTTTTGGCATGCTGTAGGATATTCAAACGGTTGTCTTCCAACGAGGCAGCTCCCTTAATGGAAATGAACCGCTGCGGGGGCCTATGACGAGACAGTTTGGAAGGAGGGTTTATTCCTACATCGTTGAAGGCTCTTGGCTTTACACTGGTATTCCTCCTCCTCCGCCTCCTGCTCCTCTTCCTCCTTCTCCATCTTTTCCACATCAATAACGTTTCCGTGTCACACCCCGAGGCCAATTTTTAGGGCGGGCCGGGCGTTTTGCATGAGACGTCTTCACCACCCATGACCTTGAAGCTTAACTGTTGACAGCAGTTTTACACATGGAGAACGGGTGGTTTTCAAAATGTGACTGTCGCATTCGCCTCGCGCACACTCGTTTTCAAAATTGCAAAGAGTTTTACGGATTGAGGGCAACCCGTTTTCAAAATGTGGTGGCAACAATTTGCAAGGGTTTCACACATTGGGGGCGGCTCCCTTCCAAAATGTAGCCCTCGCTTTAGCGCCGCGCAAATTTGTTTTAAAAACATTTGCAAGAGCTTCAAGGATTGAGAACGACCCGTTTTCAAAATGTGGATCTCGCCTTAGCGCCGCGCACCTTCGCTTTTTCCCCACATCCTAAGTGCGGTTTTTGTTTCCTCTGGACGGCCGCGGGCCACACCCACCCACACCCAGTCACACACACACACACAAACATACACACACGTCATGATCATCATCCTCGGGCATTCCATGCGAACCCGCTCGCGCGGAAGGGAATTCCAACGGCTATCGGCATCAGCGAACCCGCTCGAACGGAATGACCTTCAGGGGCATTCCATGCGAGCCCGCTCGCGCGGAAGGGACCTCCCCTGTGGCCCCTAGGGGGTCCCACCTAAAAAACGGAATTCCAATGGCTACCGGCAGCAGCGAGCCCGCTCGAACGGAATGACCCTCAGGGGCATTCCGTGCGAGCCCGCTCGCGCGGAAGGGCCTCCCTTGTGGCCCCGAGGGGGTCCCACCTAAAAGTTGGAATTCCAACGGCGATCGGACAGAATGACCCTCAGGGGCATCCCATGCGAGCCCGCTCGCGCGGAAGGGACCTCCCCTGTGGCCCCTAGGAGGTCCCACCTTAAAGTTGGAATTCCAACGGCTCGCGGAATGACCCTCAGGGGCATTCCATGCGAGCCCGCTCGCGCGGAAGCGATTTCCCCTGTGGCCCCTAGGGGGTCCCACTTAAAATGGGAATTCTAACGGGTATCGGCATCAGCAAGCCCGCTCGCACGGAATGACTCTCAGGGGCATTCCATGCGAGCCCGCTCGCGCGGAAGGGGCCCCCCCTGTGGCCCCTAGGGGGCCCCACCTAATGTTGGAATTCCAACGGCGATCGGCATCAGCGAGCCCGCTCGCGCGGAATGCCCTTCAGGGGCATCCCATGCGAGCCCGCTCGCGCGGAAGCGATTTCCCCTGTGGCCCCTAGGGGGTCCCACCTAAAAAATGGAATTCCAACGACTATCGGCATCAGCGAGCCCGCTCGCACGGAATGACCCTCAGGGGCATTCCATGCGAGCCCGCTCGCGCGGAAGGGGCCTCCCCTGCGGCCCCGAGGGGGTCCCACCTAAAAGTTGGAATTCCAACGGTTATCGGCATCAGCGAGCCCGCTCGCACGGAATGACCCTCAGGAGCGCCCCGTGCGAGCAGGAGGAGGAGGAAGGGGGAGGGGGATTTCAACCGCGGCGCCTCCAGGACGAGATGGTCGAAATGGACGTTCGTCGAGGAGGACGTGGACGAGGACGACGAGGAGACGGAAGAGGCGCCGGAGGAGGAGGGGGAAGAGGGGCGGGAGGAGGAGGAGGGGGGAATTCTCTGTTCAACAGGACCCCGTGCTGAAAAGTCCCAGGGCGACGCACGACGAGCGACCAGGGCGGCTGCTGCTTCCAGCAGCCATAGCAGCGCCAACGGTCTGGGCCATGCCCCCGCGGCGTGCTAAGAACGCGAAACAGGACGCGCAAGGATACCGTGCTCCGCGCGCCCTGTTCGGGGTAGGGGGCGCTGGAGTCCGTGCTCCGACGCCCAACCAACCCACCACCCACACCATGGGTGGCCGCTGGCGACGAGAGCAATGTTCTCTCCCCTTGGCCCCCCACGGGCAAACAAGGGTGACGATCGGGCTGCTACCCGCTTGTTTTCCTGGGAAGGGCCCCAGTGGCACAGATGCCGGAGGAGGGGGGGAAGGAGGAGAAGGATGAGGAGGAGGAAGAAGGGGAGGAGAAGGAGGATGGGGGAGGAGTGGGAGGAAGAGGAGGAGGAGGAGGAAGAGGAGGAGGAGGAGGAGGGGGAGGAGGGGGGGCAGGAGGAGCAGGACGAGTGGGGAGGAGAGAGCGGGAGGGAGGAGGAGGAGGAGGAGGAGGAGGAGGAGGAGGTGAAGGAGGAGCAGCAGCAGCGTCAGCAGGAGCAGCATCATTCTGATAGTGTACATATTCCATACAAAATTAAGTTTTCATGCGGGGTCCATCCGTTGGAGCAATTACTTTGCAAGGGTTTCACGGATTTCCATGATCAACGTACTAGATATGGTGTGCTAGAAGGGTTCATGCTTTTGCGGGTGCAACAGTTAAGTTGATTCGCGGTGTTAAAATCCCAAAAATGGCGTCCTAGCACGATTCAGAATCGTCGAGACGCAACAGTTGGGTTGATCCGTGGCGTTGGAATCCCGAGAACAATGTTTTGACATGCTCCAGGGTCTTCAAACGGTTGTCCTCCAACGAGGTAGTTCTCTCAATGAGAATGAACCGCTGTAGGGGCCTATGAAGAGGGAGTTTGGAGTGTTTATTCCAACATCGTGGATGACTCTTCGGTTTACACTGGTCTTCCTCGTCCTCCTCCTCCTCCTCCTCCTCCCCCTCCTCCTCCTCCTCCTCATCCTCCTCCTCCTCCTCCTCCTCCTCCCCCCCCCCCACGCCATGTCCCTGCCCCCGTCCCGCCCCCCCCCCTCTCCAGAAGGAGGACTGGGGGGCAGCAGGAGAGGCAAGGAGGAGGACAAGGAGCAGGAGCAGGAGGGAGGAGGAGCGAGAGGAGGGGCGAGGGTAGAGAAGGAGAAGTCCTGGAGCCCTGCCGTCTGGGAATGGAAGAGGGGCAGGGATGACAGGGAAGAGCAGCGATGAAGAAGGAAAATCGACATGCCAGATGCACTGCATTTGCCCAGGGCTCCCACTCTCGTTGTACCGCCCAGGCCATGATCACCCACAGCAGCCCTGTAATAATAGTCGTCGCGAAGACCATCGCGCTGGCCGTCGCCTCCCACTCGGCGCTCTCAGAGGCCCGCAGGTAAGCCGAGCCGCAAAGGGCGCAAGGTATGATATAGAAGATAATCGGCGTCGTTCCGACTTCACATGACCACAAGGAGAGACCCATGATCCCGCAAAGTACTGATGTCGGCCAGTCGGGCCCCCCACACAAGATCGCTACCTTCCCAACGGAAAGGCCTGGCTGCTTTAGCACCGACTCGACCGTTCTCATCTCTGGTGTATGCACTCTGCATAGTTGCCTGACCGTTATGTTCGTACCCAATTGTCCGCCGATCAATTTCTGTTGAATCGCACACGCGGAGAGCTTGAGGAAGAAGCCTAGAACAAAATTGATGCACACTCCCACCCAAAACCGAGCCTCCCTGCTTCCATCAGCCGGAAAGGGGCACGTATCTGGAATGAGGAGACCTCCGAACATGTAAACGACCATGCCAGGAACTGTGGGCCAGAGGAAGGCACACACGCCGATGACGAAGGTCAGACCGAGGACGAGCCCAAAAGAGACGGGTGTCAGGAGGTACCTCAGGTACGCAAACCCCGCGTTGAAGACCAAGGATCCGACGTAGTAAGAGAAGGGCAGCAGACACCAAATGTAAACTTTGGTGTATATCCGCCAACCACGTTGTACCGCAGTTGGTGCGCGTGTTGTGTGATGGTCTGTGTGCGTGTGTGTGTGTGTGTGCGTATGTCGCGTGTGTCGCGTGTGTGTGTGTGTTGTGTCGTGTGTTGTGTGTTGTATGTTAGTTGTGTGTTGAGTGGTGTGTGGTGTGTGTTGTGTGCTGTGCGCTGTGTGCTGTGTTGTGTGTGTCGTGTGTTGTGTGTTGTGTGTTGTGTTTTGTGTGGTGTGTGGTGTGTGTGCTGTGTTGTGTGTTGTGTGTTGCGTGGCGTGAGGTGTGGGTAGTGTGATGTGTGTTGTGTGCTGTGTGTTGGGTATGGGGGTTAGGGGTTGGGTGTTGGGTGTTGTTGCGTGTTGTGTGGTGTGTGTTGTGTGTTGTGTGTTGTGTTGTTTGTGTATTGGTCGTGTGTTGTGTGTTGAATGTGTGTTGTGTGTTGTTTGTGCGTTGAGTGTTGTGTGTTGAGTGTGGTGTGTTGTGTGTTGTGTCGTGTGTCGTGTGTCGTGTGTCGTGTCGTGTGTTGCGTGGTGTGTGCTGCATGTTGTGTTGTGTGTTGTGTTGTGTGGGGTGTGGTATGTGTATGTGTTGTGCGTTATGTGTTGTGTGTTGTTTGTTGTGTGTTCTGTGTTGTGTGTTGTGCGTTGTGGGTTGCGTATTGTGTGTTGTATGCGTGCGTTGTGTGCTGTGCTGTGTGGCGTGTGGTGTGGTGTGAGGTGTTTAGCGCGTGGTGTGTGGTGTGGTGTGTTGTGTACTGTCTGTTGTTAAATGTTGTGTGTTGTGTGTAGTGTGTTGTGCGTGGTGTTGTGTGTTGTGTGTTGTGTGGTGCGCGGTGCGTGGTGCGCGGTGCGTGGCGCGCGTACGCGCGCGAAAGCGACGTGGCTCAGGACCTTTCGGCCAGCGCGCGCGCGGGGGCGCGTCCGCTGCGACGCGCGGCCGGGGCCAGGCCCAAGCGAGGCCGCGAAGGCGGCCCACGAACCGCTCGCCACCCCCCGCGCGGGCGGCTCAGGCGGGCCAGGCGCCCGGGGCCGCCAAGAGGTCGCCAGGAAGCTCGGCGGGCAGCGGGTCGCCAAGGCGGCGCGGCGGCTCGCCCACAGGCGGCGCCCGCGGCTGCGGGCGGCGCGGCCGCGGCCGCGGAGGCCGCCGACGCCGCGATGGCCGAGCCCGAGGCTTGGGAGCGCCTCGCAGCTGCGCACACCCGCCCCGCGGCAAACTGGGCCTCGCCGGAGCTCGCCGCTCAGGCGGCGCAGCGGGATGCGCGGCCAGTGGGCAGGCCGTGGCGGCCGCCGCCGCGGAGGCCCCCGCAGAGGCCGCCGTCGGAGGCGGCGCCGACGCCAGACTCCGCGGGCAAGTCCGAGGAGTCGGAGGACAGCTCGGACCTGGCCCCAGGAGGAGGAGGGGCCTGCGCCGACGCCCGCGCAGCAGCAGCAGCAGCGGCAGCCAGCGCCAGCACCTGCCCCATCGGGCGGCTGGCGCGAAGAGCGCGCCGGGCGCCGCTGGGCTCGTGCCCGGGGGAGGCGCCGCTGCAGGCAGCCGCCGCACCCCCAGCAGCTCCCCGGGCAGAGGCAGGCGCCGCCGGCGACGGCAGCGCGACCGTCCCCCGCGCGGCGCTCGTTCGCGCGGCGCGGCAGCTGGCGGGGCTGGGGGGCTTTCGGGTCGAGGGTGCCGGAGAGAACGAGGTGCGGGTTCGGTGGCCACCAGCGTGGGCTCCGTGAGCTCTCAGGGTACCTCCGAGTGGGCTCGCGACTCCTCCGCGTGGGTGGGAACAGTCGACTGGCCCCTCGGCGGCGC